AAAAAAAAAAAAAAAAAACTATAGAAACTTGACTTCTTTTATTTCAAATCGGTGAGATTTTCATCCCAAAACCTTACCAAACAGTCCATCACACCTCCTACACTTACTGACTAATAGGTTTGGTTGTTTGTTATAGAACCCTTCTTGAGAGCAGAAGGCTGGTGCTGGCTAGGGTGAAGACAGACCTGCTGAAGGAGGAAGGGATGGTGAAGGGGAGTGGGCCAAGGATCAACACACAGTAGCATAAAATATCACAATAAAACCCACTCATTTTAAAAACTGACAACCCTTGGTTTCCATTTTGAAGACTGCGAACTCTGCTGCTGAAGCAGGACCACAATTCCGAAAGAGCACTGCTGCTCCTCGAGAGGACCGGAGTTCAATCCCCAGCACCCACATGGCAGCTGACAGCTGGCTGGGAATCGAGCTCTGGAAAATCAGGCATCCTCACACAGATGCACATGCAGGCATAACACCAATGCATATAAAATAAATTTTTAAAAATCTAAGAAGAAAACACTAGAACTTAAGCAGATTTAAACAAGTTGAATAGTATGAGGCCAATGCAGAACACTCAACTGCTTTTATATATTAGTAACAAACAAGAAAATTCAAACTTTAAACTCGGGGGCTGGAGAGATGGCTCAACAGTTAAGAGCATTGGCTTCTCTTCCAGAGGACCCGGGTTCAATTCCCAGCACCCACATGGCAGCTCACTCCAGTATGTCTGTAACTCTAGTTCCAGTGGATCCGACTCCCGCACAAAGACATGCAGGTCAAACACCAATGCATATAAACATTTTTCTAAAAAATGTAAAGCTTTAAACTCAGTTTATAGTACTGTGATAGTTAACTGCCAATTCGCCACAACCTACAATCAATCAACCTGGGAAGAGACTCTCAGTGAGGGAGTCCCTAGATCAGGTTGGTCTGTGAACATGTCTATAGGAAAATGTCTTGACTGTTAAAAGGCATGGGAAGACCCAGCCCACTGTGAGCAGCGCTATTCCCTAGCCAGAGCAAGCAAGCAAGGACCGATGGTTATCCACTCTAGATTGGACTGTGGATGTGATGCTCTACCTTTCTGCCTAGACTTCCCTATAATAATGAACTGTAACCTCAAATTGTAAGCCATATAAATCTCTTCTTCCCTAAGTTGCTTTCAGTCAGGGTTCTCTTTTGAGGAAGCAATGAAGTCCCATTGTCAAAGGGCAGAAAGTAGGGAGAGCCCCGAAGTTCTGGGGAATGGCAGAAGGACCCCAACTAGGGAAGTCACCACTCTTCAGCTGCATATCCTCTCAGATCGCCCTTTCCTAGGGAAGCATCCCCCACTCTTCCCCCACGGGCCTCTCCACCCGCTACTTCAGCCCTTCCGTCTAGTCTGAGGAAGAAGCCTATTTCCACAGTGGCCACCCCTGCTGGCATGGGGCTGACAACAATGTGCAGGCTTGGGCAACTTACTGAACCGGAATTGAACAGGCTGATACTCCTGAGAAGAGAAAGGGGATGAAAGTAAGGCAGTTATTTAAGAACATCTAATTGGGACATGCTCTCAAAAGCTGCAGAGTACTTAAGGGTGGGCATTCCTATACACTTACTATGAGTTTTCCTGGCAGTGAGGAGTTTAGGCAGGGTGAGCAGAAACTCAAAAGATGGATAAAGATAAAAAGAGATGACAAGAGAGGTAATCAGAGGGGATGCGTTCAGCTCTCCAGCAAAGCCTACAGCCCTAAAAACGGGCTAAGTGAGCACTAAGCAGCACTCTGCTTGCAAAGTTGAAGCACTGGATTCATCCTCGCACCGCGACAAAGATCAATACATATGGTGACAGAAAAAGAAAATTATCCACCTGCAAATGACAAGTGTAACTGAACAGGGTTTGCAGTGCAGGGCTCGCTTTGGCAGCACAGATTTCAAAACTGGAGTAACACACACCTGGAGACGCTCTCTGTGCCCAAGGATCACACCCGAATGTGCGAAACAGTCTGTATTTTTTTAAGTCAACCTTACCTTGTGTGGAAAAAGCATGCTAATAAACTGACTACACAAATAAACTGACATGTTCACTTTCAAAAAAAAGGAAGAAGAATTTGCAAGGCAGATGAGAGACAGTAGCTAATTTCTGTACCTGCAACTATTAAAATCAATGATATAATTATTTTTAAAAATTAGGGCTCGGGTTATAGATTAGCAGTAGAGGATTTGCCTAGCGTGTATGAGGTCTTAGGTTCAATTCCCAGTACAACAATAATAATAAATATTAATGTGTAATATTAATATTTAATAATTAAATGCTACTAAATTAAATTTTATTAGTCACATATAAGCATAAATACTAAATATTTTAAAGTTAAAACTATTTAATAAATTAATATATAATGTAATTATATGTGATAATGGCTATTATTTATATGAAATGTTAGTTTATAATATTCATAATAATGTATTCTTATAGATCATAGTAAAGGCATGGTAAACAAGACTCCTCATAAGGCTGAGTTCTGAAGCTTTCTTCCAAGAATGCATGAACTAATAAATCACTTCCCAAAGTGCAAACTGGAGATGGTCTAACTGTGTGTCAGTACAAAAATATTCTTTTGGCTTCATGGAGTGATTATCTTTTAAGAAATATACTGACCTGCTTTTCCCTGACATTACACCTGTAATCATGGCACTTGAGGATGTGGAGACAGGAGGACCAGGAACTATGGTTATCCTCAGCTGGACTACATAGCCACTTCAAGGCTACCCTGGACTAAAGGAGAGCCTGCTCAAAAAGATGTAAAAATCAAAAAAGTATCCAGCAGTTCTAGAAGATAAGCTAAAGGCTCTGGGCCACTCTCCGTTTATGATGGACACTGTGGTACGTAGATACAGAGAGAGTAACCAAGGGTAACCAAGATGAGGAAAGAGTACAAATATTTGCCAACATCCCTGATCCATCACTGTCTAATCACTAGCTTCCTTTGTAAAATGCTTTGCTGCATCCAATACAAAGATGATAGACATGCTAGGCAAGTTGCCTACTATGGGACAATATCTCTGGCTCTCCGAATTTTTTTTTTTTAATTTCAAGACAGAGTCTCACTAAACAGTCCTAGGTGGCCTTCAACTCATCCTGTAGCACAGAAAGACCTTGAGCTGCAACCCGTCCTACCTCAGTCTTCCCAGTAGCTAGATTACAGGCCTGAACCACCAGGCCCGCTCTTACTCAGTTGTGTTGTATGTACCCTGAAGAAATCAGGCACTTGGTCACCTGTTCAACAGATACCAATGTTGAGGACACACAGCTAGCCAAGGCTCTGATGATGAGCTGAAATATAATGGTGAGCAAGCAGAAAGCAAATCATGGTACAACCCTTAGGTACAAAACTTTATGATATGTGACAATGCCATAGGGGGAAACTTGTTTATGATTTGGTCTCATTTATAAAAAATAAAATAAAATAAAATAAATAAAATAAAAAAATAAAAAATGTTCAAGTCTTTTTGTCATTTTAAGATCCATTTTTATCTCTTTTTAATTATGTCTGTGCCTGCATGCGCGGGTGCAGGTGCTCAGGGAGACCAGAGGCAACTGAACCACCCCCCCACCCCGCCCACCCCCGAGCCAAGGTGGGTGCTAGAAAGGTCTTCTACTAGCTCTTAACTGCTGAGCCATCTCTCCAGCCGGAGTCTTTATCAAATCATTCCCTAACACACAGTAATTACATATGGGGTGGAGGGTGGAGATTCAATGTGATTTCATTTTTTTTTTTTTGAGTTGTTAAAAGCAATAACGCAAATACTTATCTCTGCTTGTTTAAGATAGACCCGTAAGGATGGAAAGAGAAAAAAAAAATCCTCAATCAGGTATCATAAACTATAAATAGTGAGCACTGGGTGATGGTGGGTAAGAATTGTTTTTCCTACTACCCTCTGTAATCAGGTAAATGAAAAAACAAGGATGTTTATAAAGATCCTTAAATCCAATGGCAAGTTAAAGGGAAGAATGACTAGGCTGCCCAACAGGGGAAAAAAAAAAAGCGCTTACTCTAATAGCAAAGATCATCACGGGGGGGGGGGAATGGACTCTTACTGGAATAGCAAAGATTCATCCATTGGCAAGCAAAAGAGGACCGGGGGGGGGGAGCATAATTTAGAAAAGCTTTTTTTTTTAAGCACAAAGGGCGGGGTAGAGCAGAAAGGGTAACAATAGCGCGATTACACTGCCATCTAGCGGCCACAGAAACTGAGACTCACCATACAGGACGGAAATATTTTCTGCTGCTTTTCGGTGAACAGCTGTAGAAATGAAGCTGGGGAACGTAGGAGGAATGGAAAAGACCGCCGAGGTCACACGTACTTGCCTAGAAGAGCGCGGCGAAGCCTCTCCGCGACGAAAGCCTGGACACCCATCCCTGCCCTAGCAATACATCAGCGGTCCCTTCGACACCGGAAGGAAGCTGCAGGGCATGGCCTAGGATTGGCTGATTCTGCGCTTGCGCAGTTATGAAAATGAGGTCGCTGCCAGTCTCCTTAAAGGTTTCCTGGATGTTGCATCCGCGCCTTTAACCTACAGGCTAAGGCATAGAGCTGGAGCCGCCAGGTAGCCCCCGTCGCCCAATGTTCAAGCCTAGAGCCAAGTCTCCAGGACGCGCTCCTCCTACTCAGTCCACCCTTGAATAATTGTCTTCCTCAAAGCCCTTACCCCTCTGATCATGAAGTCTTTTGGGATGATTTTACCTGTACCCTAAAAACACTGGGGGAAAAAAATCACATCATTTACCAAAAGATGGTATATTTTGAACAGTATTGTACACAAATAATCTGATTTTTTTTTCTTTCCTTTTTGTATGTTTTGTGTGATTGAGCCAGGGTCTCCTGTAATGTAAGCTTTTTCCGAATTTGCAATTTCTCCAAAGCCAAATCTGAACTACTGATCCTTATGCCTCCACCTCCAGGCTGCTGGGATTACAGGCCATGTAGCACCAAGTTTGTCATTCGCAACGAATTCTTCCTGACAGTTGATTTAGCATCAGGACTTTTATTTGGATGTGCAGTTTATTAGTGTTTATTTCTCATGGGGTTTCTTTGGGGGGGTCTTTTTAATTTATTTATTTATTTATTTATTAAAGATTTCTGTCTTCCCCACCGCCGCCTCCCATTTCCCTCCCCCTCCCCCATCAACTCTCCCTCCCTCATCAGCCCAAAGAGCAATCAGGGTTCCCTGCCCTGTGGGAAGTCCAAGGAACACCCACCTCCATCCAGGTCTAGTAAGGTGAGCATCCAAACTGCCTAGGC